GCTACCTAAACCCAGTCCCGCGGGCTCCAAAATGGCTCGTCAACGCATTTGAATTAGTCCGCTATTGGCAATATGGGATCTTGCCTTGTAGAATTCGAGCAGATTTGAATCAACATATATTTGCGAAAGAGCTTTTACTGCTCTAACTTATGTAAAAAATAAATATCGCAGTTCGTCAATTGTGCTTCATATTTCAGATTTGATGTTATTATCAACATCAGATTTATCACCAAATATTAAACAATTATTAGCTAATAAGTCCCTTCATATGTCTTACTAAAGTTTTTTTTTTTGTTGATATAATTAATACACGAGCGATTTAAAATGTTTGATTTAAGTTCTTCTATATTTAAGTATCTGTGTATAGAATTTAGATGAATCATAACGTTGATGGATCGGGCCATAGTTTTACCGTACATATAATTGTTTAAAGACGACTCCAAATATTGAAACTATTAAAATTGTTCATTATTTATAAATTTTTTACAGGATTAGGTCTTAAGTAGTAGTAAATGGTTAATTTTAGTCTACGAACTTTAAGAGTAAAGTTTTAGTGTTTTCATTTTTTCTAGATACCTATAAAACTATATAGTATTAACGTATTCGTATAAAATGTCGATGTCATTCAATAATTAATTTGTTTTCAATTAAAAATTATAATTAACTCAAAAATTTTATATAACCTTAGCTTAACATGTATAAAACAACTTATATTAATTTTTAGCCCTAATTTATAAATTATTCGAAAACTTTGTATAATTTGTTATTATAATTATTATAACTACTTGCATTTTATAATTTCATAAATATTTTTTTATTATATGCTAGTTAAAAGTAACTTTTTATGTAGAAAATATGTGACTTCTATACAATTATTATAAGCCTAATACCTATTGGGCCATAGCGGATAAATGGATATCTATTAGTATACAGTATACTGGTACTGATTAATCGGTAGACGGTAAATGATTATAGAATTTTATATGGTATATTTATGTGATTTTTACTACAATTTATTAAATTGTGACATAATTTATTTTTATTGTAAGAATTTTTAGAAAATATATTTATAATGTAAATATGTTATAAATTATATATATATATATATACATATAATACAATTTGTTCAGGGCCGGCGTTATATAATTTTGACAGAATAGTGAGACAAGTATTTGCCAAATTAAATTAAATTTATACCGTTCATAATTTCCTTGAAAAAAAAATTATTGAAGTATAAAAATGCGTAGTTTTTCTTTACAATAGTTAAGGTGAAATAAAAAAGTTTGATCAAATAATTCAATTTTAATAAATATTAAAAATCATAAAAAAAAAAAATAAAAAAATACAAAAACAAATATTATATTATACGAGTCCTTATCAGTCAGCAATTTTTAGATTTCTAAATCAGTAAACTTAAATCAGTCAACAGCGTACTACGCACTGTCGATTTCAATGGGAATAAAGAAAACAAGGGGTTTTCCATATTTATATATTAACACTAATGCGGAGTAAATAATCACTGAATAAATTAATTAGTATATAAGTTAAAATTATTACCAACTACCGAGAATCTTTCTTATATTATAGATATTTTTTTTTTAAGTTATACAATTGCCAATGGCTCCCTGCTATTAAGAAAATTTCGACGAAAAATTTATCTGGGAGGTGTGACCAGTACTCGACTTGGAAAAATTAAAGAAGGGACTCTGTTTTTAAAAAAATAACGTCCCCAATACTTTTTAAGCGTTATAATTATAGCGTAATAATAGTAGGGGGACGCTAAAATTTCTGAAAATTAGTTGGGGTATTCCGTCCCCCTGTGTTCCCTCTCAAGTCAAGCACTATGTGTGACGACCCACCATTGCTGCTGGCTCGGCTCTGAATGTGTAAATTTTTCCTGGAATGTAATAAAAATATAAAATATGACTATTGTAAATACCGATAAGTGTTCAGTGTCTGTTACGATAGTATTAAACGCTATGCGTCTATACCGTTATCTGGAGTAATGACTTGATTTATAATGATTAATGAGTATTTTTTATTATAATGCTTTATGTTGGGTACCAATTAAACAAGACATTCTGTCCACTGTACAATTTTTATTGGCTTTTGAAATCATAACTAACTGGAAATTGATATCCTACTATTCATAACATAAAAATACTGATAGGGGACAGCAGCACATATTTGAATTTACTTTAAATAGTTGTATAAACGAGTAAAAAAAAAATACTTTTTATAAAACACAACTATCAATTTAAACGAAAATAATCAGGTTTTTATTTCTATACATCTAAGTGAACATCATTTATTCCGTAAGTAATTTAATCGTATATTTATTGATAGTTAAGTGTACATCTAGTTAAAACTATATATATATTTGTGACATTGGTGTATTGAACTTAGTTTTTATGTATTCTATAAAAACCATTTTATATAAGTATATATCTGTGAAAGTGTGAACCACTCATCGTAAAAATATGTGTTACAAACTGATAAAAAACAGATATTATATCTCTGTTGTTATAATATTACATATTCTTTAAATTCTCATTATTTACTAACGACGCTGGTGCGTTGTGGATTTTATTAAAATATTAGAAAAAAAAAATTAATAATTGTAATTCATATTTATTAATAATATTTAATGCATATTTGTAGTTGCAAATTTCAAAGTACACAAACATCTCAATGTGAACATTTATGTTATTTAAAATGTTATAATTTTGTTTAAATTCAGTGGCATAGCTATCATAGGGCGAAGCGGGGCAGTGCCCAGGGGCCCTGGAGCACAGGGGGCACCTTGAACATTTCTGAAATTATACTTCCCTAAAATAATTAACAATGTTGATGGTATTTAACTTTCCTAATCGTACGTGATGGTTCCAGTAACAATCAGTTTTTTATAATAGGTACCTCCTAATAAACGGCATTTTCTTTTTACTCTGCACATCTGTTAATTATCTGGCAATTAATTTTATTTATCATTTATTCATTTCTTAGTTTCACAAGTAAACCCATTTTTAGACATTGATATGAATTTAATAAAAATTGTTGTAATTCTAACATATATTTTTAAAAATATTTCAAAAAATAATTAATATTTTTCAGTTATTTTAATTTCCAAGTAAATTTAAGTTCTGTTAGTATATTCGTTTTAATTACCAATTATTGCTTTGAAATTGTATAACCATGGTTTTCTAATTAAGGAACGCTTACTTAATTTTAAGTTTTGAATTAGTGAAGATCATAATGGTTAATTAATGTTTATTTGATTTGAGAATTGAACGAATAGAGTGAATAGTGTATACAGTAATATATGTTACTCCATATACGAATACGACGTTTAAGTAGATATGACATATCAACGTATCCATTAATTTTCGGCGAATTATCATTATTACGCAACACGTTAACCATTACGCGGTACGAAACTAATCAGTTTTTATCGATATTTATACATTTTGTTGGAATTTTCCACCACGACACGATATCAACTATCAGGCAACAGATTTAATATCGTTGAAAAATATTGTTGTAGTTTGCAGAAAAATATCCGAATAATGAACAAATAAATTCGTGTTGTAGTGTTAGAGATTTAAAATGTAATATATTTTGCCACTTAAAGGTTATAAACTTGCCGCCTAAATTGTTTTAATATAGAGCTTTTAACAAAATGTATATGCCGAAGTAAGTAAGGTATGTAATTTTATTAATGGTCAACAGTTTATTATAATATTTTTAATCTGAAATACTATCATATCTATGATTATTAAATACAAGTGACTGAAATATATTCATGTGCCAAGTGTAGGCAATAAGACGCGATTTTTAATTTTTAAAAAATGAACTACTGTTCAATAGGCATTTCGGAAATTCTTTTAAACGCAATCACAGGGCATTTAATTGATTCAGGTGTAGATTAGGTCGTAACTGTACGTATTAGCACGCCACACAATTTTTAACGTAAAAAAAAATCTGAGCGTTCCGCATTGAATAATAATGTATGCAGCGGACGCGCGCTGTCATCAATACAATACACTCGGGTGATAAATTCGATTTAACATCGTTACACGGTAACCGGTAAGGTGTATTAACGGTACGCAAGTCAATCCAGCGTTGACGACTAATGGTGCCATGTACCTACTGTAAGAAAACAAATAGATAAAAAATGAAAAAATAATAAGTAGGGTCTACCGTCTACCGGTATTAGAACAAATACTACAATTGTGACTGCTACGGACATTTTACCACCACGCACAAAAACTACTACGACTTTAAAATATTATTCCATTACAACAATGCGATGGGCGGACAGTGCCAGCAACAGCTGACCACCGTGCTGATATGATATTACGTATTTACGTCCGAGCGCGATGAAACGCGTGTGCGCGCGACCGGGTCGTTCCGAGAATCATCATGTACGCCATTGGCAGCCGGACCACTGCGACACGCACGCACGCGCACAAGTTCCGAACTAATGGTGCACGCACGCACATCGCGACGGCGGCTAGCCCGCACACATGCGCGCGCCCAGTGGGCCAACGTTCGGATATCAGTAGTGGCGTGCGTCGTCGGTAAACGTGTATGTGAGGCACCTCTATCTACCTGTACACGGACACAGAAAAAAAAAAAAAAAAACAAAACAATATTCCATTATTCTAATAATAATTAGTTTAATTATTAATCGCCCATCGACTCGCATGTACACGTCGTCGTCGCCTAATTTTTTTTATTTTTTTTTTTATCACAGTTTGTGCGAATCACTTTTTATCGATAAGTGTTCGAAAAAAAATAAGTAAAAAAAAACAATAAATAAATAAATAACAAGCTGTACACGTCGTTTGTCGTCCCCCACTCCGCGTTCCAAGTTTCAAGCAACTGGTTATTCATCGTCGCGGCACCGACTGTGTATCGATACAGAAAAATAATAACATATTATTACGTGATTACGTCGCACGTCTAATATTATGTATTCATTTATACATATTTTTATTAATATTGAACCATAAACGTACACATAATATATTAATAGTAATAGTATTAATGTTCACTAAAAAGAATAAATAAATAAGACAATTCTGTATTTACATTTGTGTAGTGATTAGTGATTACGGACAGTTTCATTGATACGCGGCAATCGTATTCGTGATATTAGTTTTTTTTTCTTCTGTTTGACTTGTGAATATTGCTCCAAATAAACAGACTTTGTGTTGTTTTTATTTACCCATTCTTCGGTCGGGAATGTATTTGCGTAGATGATAACAGAACGGCACAGGGACAATGGTATCCTCGTCGATATTGATAAGTGTGCGCGCGTGAACTTAGCCGTGTGTACGACGCGACAGCACAGTCAACAGCAGTAGCAGCTGCAGCATCAGGTAATTGTTATATAAGCTCATACTTTCATTAAAATATTACTCACCTTTTTTTGAGTGATTAGAACTTATTATTTATGACCAATAACTTGTAAATAGTTATCTTTTTGTTGCCCTCGTATTTGCCCGTGTATCATAAATTGTTTTAAGCATTTGGGTGTGTGAGAATTTTTACATTAAGTTTATTTATTTAGTAGATACCTACTATGTCTATATAAAGGTATGTATGTATTTTGATTACAACAATTTTACTTCGCCTAGAACCTTGAATTCGTTTTTAATTGTAATATTTTTGAGCAAACTGATATGATTGAGATCTTATGTTTTAAATGGTTAATGCCCATCTAATAGGAATTGACATAACTGGATGAAATGCCTACCATTTGTTTGATTTTTCTTCAATTTAAATTATATTCATCATATGAATGTATAAATTATAATTATTGGTATGGGTAATACAATACTATTGAAATCATTAGCTCATTTTTTTAAATTACTAAATTTTAAAGATTTGAGTACGACATTAATGTTTTTTACTTAGTGTTCTTTGTGTTCACAGTCGGTACAGTTTAACAAATGTACCTAGTTAATGCATTACAACATATTTACCTCATTTTATACAGCAAGGAATAGTCAATCTATAATCTATAAAAAATCCTATCTAGCTAATGAATAATTAGATGGCTATTTTTACTTTAGTAAACTGTACTAAGAACAACGCCGTTGAATAATTTAAACAACATTTTTTCAGTTTACAGATCCAAAAACTATTACTTGAATTTCCCTTATACTTACAACTTTTTTTTGAAAAATAGATTTTATTTTCAATAACAAATTTTAAAATAATTTATTAATCTACATTTCACTTAGACAATCCTTTTATTGTGGGATAGTAAGTAGCAAAGTTTGAGTAATCAGACTTAATTTTTTAATAAAATACTTAGCATGATATTTTAGAATTAGATATATCATCTAAAATAACAAAAAAATTAATATATAATAAAAATAACAAAATTAAGATTAAGCGTTTCGGTTTTGTATTCAAGATCTGTCCGATTATAAAATATAATAATTTTTATTTTTGTACTGTCTAGTCCATGATTTTGCTTACCTATGTAAAATTTATTGAGATATGTGAAACATCACACATCAGTCAATATGAATAGTTACAGTATGTTTTCACTCAACATTAAATACCTACTTATTAACAATTTTTTTATTACTATTTAATGATTATGTTATAAATAAAAACTCTATTTACAACATTTACTTGTTTTAGATTTAATTGGTAGGTTAGGTTACTTTTGATAGTATTTTGTATATGTTTGGTAGATATAATAAATTGCTTTGTTGTTTATAATTGATTTCTATATTATTCACATATTTTTTCCTAATAAATGTATTGTTAATTTTTGCTCTTGATTCTTAGATCTTATAAACTATATTAAATTAATTTGTATGGGACAAAAAAATTATCTTAAAAATTTTTTATACAAACCTATAAATTAAGTGCTTCAACTAATATATATTATAATTATAAGTATTACTAAATATTATATTTAATTATACATTGTTATATAAGTTTAGTATGGTATGTTAAGAATTAAAGATTAGCCAGAAACTGATTTTTGTAAAATATTAAAATTTAATTATTCTAAACATTTGTTTACTAAGAGCTATTCTGAAACTTATAGAGATGGAATTTTATAAAAAAAAATGAAACAAGGTTCTTTTCAAATTCATTTTTATACCTAGTTGAAAATTTAACATTTATTTTGGTTTCTAAATTTTGGCATCTTTTATGTTTACATTTTTAATTATATTATTTTCACAAAATTGTAAAAATGTTAAATAATTATTTATAGTAATCACTTAACAATACATTTCTATAATAAGTTATTTATTACATTGAATCTAAATAAAATTATTTTAAATTTATGTAGATAATTTTTAATATAAAATTATTTTTTTAGGCTTATAATACTTAAAAAAATTAATTATATTCATTATTCATGAAATTAAAAAAACACTAATATATACTTTGGTGTAATAAATCCATAATTTTTTAATAATATCAATGCTATCAATCAAGTTTTAACTTATAAATATTAGGTGGCTTTGTTTGAAATTGTAAACCCGTAAATTTTTATAACTTAATAAAACTAGTAATAATAAATTAGAAATATTATTTACGTTAAATATCGATATTTTTAAAAATAATATTTGATTAGATAATTAAAAAACAGTTGTGCCTTAATTCTTTTTTTCTTAGAAAACCTCAAAAAGTTTTCAGTTCTTGTCAAGTTGCTGGATAATATTAGCACTAAGATTAACCTAAATAATTAAGATATTTTTATAACAATACACCATCATAAATAATGTATAATAAATTTATGTTAAATTTTACTATTATTATGCCTTAATGATTATTATAACAGCAAGTTATTTCTGGTTTTTTTAATATATATAAATAAATATTATTATTATATATATTACCAATGTTTACTGTGTTTATGTAATTTATGTATACTAAATTTATATAAAAATATTGTGTACAATATATTTCAATTATTTTTTATAAAACTAATAAATCATATAATAATTTTATTTTATTTTTTAGTTTGACATTAATGATATTGGGACAATATTTGACCTACCACAATTTTTAATTATTGTATTACCAACTTTGTAAAATACGTTATTATTCTTTCCTAATTTGAACTCTAGCTTGAGGAAGTCATTAATAGTAAAATTTTAATTTTTTATGAATTTGTTTAAGAAATGCTGTAGATTATTTATTTTATTCGATATTTAATGCATATTTTAGAAACTTTCAAAACCCTTAGTTCAAATGTTATAATTTGTATCAATTTCCCATAGTTAGTAGTTAATATTTAAGTGTTGGTATTTATCAATTTGTAATAAAGATAAACTATTATTTCTATTCATTGTTGATTCAGGTGTTATTCCATTTTTTATTACAAATAGTTAAAGAAGCTTTGTGACATTTTGTGATTATATAAAACATTGTTTTAAAATAAAATAATAATACTGCTTCTGTGCAAATTTTTGTGAAGTTCATGTACAGTAATTATATTAACTAGTAACTAGTTAACTAGTATTTTTATTTTTTTACCATTGATTTAAATTACCTGTTATTTGTCTGTTATTTTTAAGACTAAATTTATATGTAAACTATTTAGTTTAAGGGTTTCTTGGTATTAAAGAAATGTAGTTTATTTATATTTAATATTGATATTGACATTCAAAGATCAAAATGAGAATTGCATAAAGTTTTTTAGGCCAAAGTATCCTAGTATTTACTTCTTCTATTTAGAAATGTATTTATCTAATCATATAAACATTTAAACTGAGAGTTACACTATAATAATAACTTTTTGTTGTAAAATTATTATAGTTTAACATTTTAGTGAAAAGTTTTAAGCTTTTATTTAAATATGGTAAGAAGATTGTATCTTCATTTCTTCAAAGTAAGGTATTTAAAAGTTTTATATATTTGATTTATTCTATATATATATAATATAGACTATTTAATAGTTGGATAATCCTTTAATAATAAACAAATTTATTTGAAGTATGTAAACTATAAGTAAAATATATGTTATACATTTTTTAAATTGATTTTCTCGCAATCTGTTAATTTTGTTCTTAAAAGTAATTTTTCTCTTTATTGAATTATTTTTATCTTAAATTTTTTTTAATTTTTGTGTAATTATATTTCAGAATTTAAGTAAAATATATAATCTAATTTAATCCTTCAAAATAATTTGTTTTCAAATAATAATTTTCACTAATCTTAGTATGGTTTTTAAAATTTTTTATTATGTAATTTATATGGTAACGTAAATTGTATTTGTGTAAGTCTTGAAAAATACATCTATTTGGAGTAGTAGTTAAAAGGGGTATTTAACATCTATATTTAAAAATAACAACAATTAAAAATAGTATATGTTACTAGTATATATAGTATATCTTTACATTTAAATTGTTTCCAAAGTCTACATAACTATTTAACCCTATGTAAATTATTTAGAAATTTAAATTTTATAAACATATTAACACTTAAATGAATGCTGTACTTTATTTGGTACAAAATTTATTTATTGTGAATTAAAGAATGAAATCTGTCTGAGGTCTTACATATGTTACCTACTTGTGTTAAAGGTACTACACTTGTACATCAGTGTCATTTTAGTATTAACTATATTAATCGATATGTACACTTGTCACTTGTAGACCTGCAACATATTATAATTAATTTTACAGAGTTGTGGATATTATTATTAACAAATTATTAAATCGATTTGTATCAAATACTTTTTTAGATAAAATATTTTTTAATTTCATATTATTTTTGGAAATTAGAAAATGTTGTGTATAATTTATATGCTTATAAACTTATTATGAATATGCTATATTATATTATGTTATACATATTGTATATTACATATGTCGTGTACTAATATTAATATTATGCATATGTTTATTACTATAATTTAAGGATGACATTTTTCTTTAAGTGTAAACATTTTACAAGCATCCTTTTAATGTAATCTGAAAAAAGGGAAAGGAAGAACTTCAAGCTTTAAAAGAATAATTCTTAACAGATAAAATAAAATTATATTTTACTAATAACTCTATAAATAAAAATGTCAAAACTATTCAATGGATATAATTTTGCATTGTAATATATTCTTGAACAAAATTCTAGGCTATTTGAATCATTTTGCTTTCATTTTTGACCCTATATACCTGCATATTACATATTTCATAAGTTTTTAATTTTTACATAAAACCTATAATTTTAAATAATTTTTTTCAAATGATAAACTTTCAACTTAACTCTTAGATAATACTTGGCTGTAGAACATATTCAAAATATTTATTTGTCAGATTTTAACTTCTACAAATGTTAAATATAAAAAAAAAAACAAAAAATAAATTGATTTTAATATTAAATCTAATGTTATTAAATTATATCAAATTAATTATTTTATTGCACTAAAGAATTTTAGTATTTCTTATGTTGTGAACATTAACCTTAAAAAAAAAAATTATAACATTTAAATTTTGTTAAATTTTCATGGCTTGATAATCAATTACTAAAAGAAAAAATTGTATAAATTAACTATTGATTTAATGTTTGTAAATATGCTCTGAAAAACATTCTTACAAATTATAATTTTCAAATTCGACAACTATAATTTATATGAAACTTATCAATGATTCTGATTTTCTTTTGTAAAAATGTTTGTCTAGTTTTATTTATGTACAACTAAATAAATTCTAACTATCAATATTATTTTGTGAGCACTAAAATTTTGATTAATGTTTTTTTCAACTATATTTTGTTGATTTCTTTCTGTAGTTATTCTAGCTGAATATAACAAAATTATTATTTAACATCAACCATCGATTTTATTGGTTATATTCCTACTGTATCATGAGCTTTTACAGGGAACAGTTCTATAAATATATGATTAATAGAAAATAATTGGTTTTTAAATAAGTTTAGATTTCATTAAAAAATTGTTCTATGGATTTTTTTCAGTTATTTAATAATACAGAAAATAGTTTTTCTAATATCTGATATTTTGTTTATGGTAAAAGTAGCTATTGAATATTACTTATTTTAAGATTAGTCCTAGTTAAACTTCTAATTTTATCAATTTTTATGAGAATTCATAAGAACATTTAAGTATAAATACATACGTAACAAAATAGAATTCAAAAAAAAGTTTAATTATTATGCTTATTCAATCAGTGATGCTGTATTTGTTATTTTTACTAAATATTAGTAAATTAATCTTCTGATTAACTTGGTAAATGACTTATTTTAAGTACCATTTGTATTCAAATTTTGATTTGAGTTATTTTATGAATTAAAATTAGAACTTATAGCACTTAAAAACTTTACAATAAGTGCTAAAATATGCTTTAAAAACATATACATTACTCATGCATTTTAAAATTAAGAAGTATGTATAAAAAATAAAAATTATGAAAAAATAAAATCTTGTATTTCGATTTATTAGTTTGTTAACGTGAATAAGGAACTATTTTTCGTGTACGTGTTGTTTTCATCAGCCAAAAAAACCAAATAATAAAAATAAAAATAATATTTTTTATTTAAATCAATAAAAGTAATTCATAATTATACTCTTATACATAGCGTTATTAAATGGTCGCGTTTGTATTTCCGTAATTAATGTGATTATATACATTTATAAATTTAATTACATAACATATCTGTGGTAAGAAGATAAACGGGCCACATAGTATTTTCTTTAAGTAAAGTTATTTATACCTTAATGAATATTATGATGAGCATTGATTAATAGATAATGTTCGATATTGGTGTTTTGATTAATTTTCTCTGATTGTATGTATATAATAATAATTATTATTTCTTTATATAAATGTGTCGTAGAGTCCCAGTTAAAGTTATAGTCCGAATATAAAAGATAAAAATTGGCAATTGTATCAATTTTTATATTGACATGAGCAATATATTTTTTTCGTTTAATAAATAGTATAATGTTGAAAAAAAATATTTGAAATTTGAAGGGTAAGTTTTTCGCACTTAATTTCACGGGAAACGTAACTATGATTTATAATATAGTTTATAAAAGCTCTTTGTGGGCTGTTTAGAACTATTGAATATAATATTTAGATATATTAAATATTAAGACGTAGTTTGTTGTTAGTATGTATAAAATACTGCACGTAATTCATACGGTTGGTCGGGGTAGGAATTTGCTGACTAAATCCTTTTAGTCTAACGACCTACCGAGGAAACCACATGAGCGATGACGAACAGCCTGCGAATTGACTATTTCAATGAAATTCAGTGTTTTTTTTTTTCAATTTAATAAAATCCATTTGGTATTTTATTTGTTTCTGAAATCTTGATAAGATGAGTTTGTTACATGTTATAAAAACGCCTGCTTTGTCAGCTATACATTTATAAGTAAAAGTTATAATTAATAACCATAGGCATTGTTATTATTTTTTACAGAAACATGGGTGGCGCAATAAAATGCACTGACTAGACACCACCGATGTAACGTTTATTTTTTAAAGCCAATTTTTTATTGAAATATGTCTGCTGATCCTTCTGAATCAAACAGTCAGATAACAGGTTAGTGATTTTATTTATTTTTAAATCTATTAATAATTATTTTTTAAAATTGTAATATTATAAACAGTATAGGTAATCATATTTTCATTCTGATACAATTTTCAAAATAAAATAGAATTTATTTTAGATCCAAAACATCGTTCAATGTCTTAATTTGTTCTAGTAAAATAGTATAAATTATAACTTAATGTGCTGAGATCATCGAGCTGTGAATAAAAAATGACATCATTTTTCATATACTATTTTGATTGGATAAAATATAATGGCGGATATTATTATATTACAACATTATAATTAATTATAATATACAAAGCAATAGTAGTGAGTGTTTAATGTTTTCTAGTGTTTATAATTAATAAATTAAAATTTACTTATTAGTAGCTTGAAATTTAATAAACGTTGATTTTAGTATTTTAAAAAACGATGAATAAAAACATTACCATGATGTTATACCAAAAAAAAATTACAATTTCTTAACTATAAATAGTTTTTTTACATAATTTGGACGAATATAATACTTTTATTTTCTTATTTAGAAAATAAATGAGATACGTCAGATTGAAATGTGTCATAAGTTTTCCTTAAACGATTGTGATGTAGATAAATATTTATTAGGCGGTGAAGTGTGGATTAACGAGTCTATAATCTATATATTACAAATTTAGAAACCACTATTATTATGAAAGTCTGAGGTTTTCTTAGTATTTTTATTTTTCCAAATATATACATGTAAAATTTATATAAGTGTATATGTGCGAGCGCGATCGCATGTGTATGTTTTGTGTGTGTGTATCAGTCAGTGCTAATGTAAATGCTATTATATTCTATCGTACATCTTATTCGTTTTTAATTTTAAAATATTGATTAATTTTATTGAGTAAACTACAAAATGATATTTATTTCTCAAATTGAAGATATATAAATTACAGTCGACCATAATTTAACATTAATAACAATAATATTAAACAAATATATTTCCCCGGAACACGTGCACCAAACGTTATCAGCCGACTGATATTATTTAATAGTTTATTATATAAACACACAATATATATAAATGTATACACTTTATACGTAGTAAAATCTTTTGCCGATTTCAACCTCTTAAATATTAAAATTTTGAAAAATCCTTACGTAGTGGACAGTGAAATTATAATATTAATCTATTCTCAAAATGTTAAGTCAATAACTCTAATAGGTTCTGCTCAGCGTTGATTATGAATCAGAGGAACACTTTCGTTTTTATATTTAGATAATTTCCTTAGTTAATATTTATTGAGGCTTGTATTCTTACTTTACTATAAAAAGCAATTTATTTTGCTGATAATATCTAACTTCATGAGTCATAACCAAGATTTAGGTAAAATGGGAATAAAACATTCAATCACTATTGGAAAATTACATTGATTATTGAATTTAAATGAGTTATTTAATTACTGTTGAAAATGAGGATAGTTAAAAAATTGTACATATATTTATGTAAGTTTAATTTTATATTAAATTAGTATTGTTTAAAATTATATTTGTGTTTATACATTTATTACAATTATGTAATGAATGTACGAAAACCGTTACCATAGATATTACGAGTTAAGTAATTTAAAAGGTACCGGAAATAATATTTTTATCATTATTATCACGGTGTATATAATCTCAGCAATCTATAAAGCTAAGTGTTGACCCCAAATTTTACTATAATAAATTTATCGCGTTGTTCTCGTCCACCAGATTCTATTTCTGTGTTGCGCGCCATGCGTTATGCCTTCTCCCGGACATTGTCGTCACCATGAGTTTTAAAAACTCAACGTCACTAAGAGTCATTTTTTTATTGTAATTAATTTGTTTGCATTTTGGTTAGTGATAAAATTAAGATTTGGTTGTAATTTAAATGTGTAAAGTCAAATAGTGCTAGAACGTGATGAATACATTGGATTACAAGTACTTCCTTTATGAGGTAAACCAATTAATAATTGAATGAAAAATGTAAAAAAAACTTACACTTTTGTAGTAACTATTTTTCATTGCCTTTAATTAATTATTAATAAAATAAATTTTAAGTAGTTAATATATCTGTAAAATATATTTAAAAATAATGTGTTTAATATTATAGTATCTTAATCCTTAAATAATTATTTAACATATAGATTATCGTATTTATGTATTGTGAATTACAATAATAATATTAATTATAATATAACAATAACATAATAGTTAAACCTGTGTTGTCCTAAAGTTTTTCTTTTAAAATGTTGATGTACAATATTTTTTCATAAGTTGGTTTCATTTTTTAAGCAATTTGCAATTTTTATATGTCTAAAAAAGAATTTCCTCTGTCCTCTCTAACCTTTTTTACATTCATTTTAAATCTTTTAATGTAATGAGTTTAACTAATATTTTAAATATTTCCTAAAAAGTATTATTTTCGTATAATTTTATTGAACTTAAATCAAATTAAATTATTTATAAGCAATAAAATGTATAATCATAAAGCAGATATTTGATAACTAATGTTTCTGTAATAACTTGCTAAAAGTACTCATTTAAACTCTATTTTATAAATATTTAAAATTTTTATAACAATTGAGTAATATTTTTTCTAAAAAACTTTATATTTGAACATCTCAAAAAATCTAATAATACGTGTAATTGCGTAGCTTTTGATTATGATATATGATCAACAATAAAATAACTCTACAAATTAATTATAATAAAACTTAAAAATGATTTAAAATTCATTAATTTTACAGGAAATTTAAATCGGTTATTTTTATTGTTCACGATTAACTAAGCATTGAAAATATAAGACTTCATAATAAAATATACTTCATATTATCCTTTTAACGTAAAATTAATAAATAATAATTCATCATTCTAAATTTTATATTTTGACATAGTATTTCATTTTAAAAATTATGAAAAAATTGCACGACTTTATTTCGAGAACTCTATCGTATTTTTATATGTGTGTGCCATGTAATGTAACAATAACCAATGATTTAGTGTTGTTCATGTGCCAGAACTTCCCGTTTTCTAATTTTTGTAACTAATTTTAAATCCGGAACAGAGTGAGGAAGTTAACAAAATTGTGGTTTTTCAAATATGATAATTTATAATAATTTTCAAATAAATAATATTATTATAAGCACAGGATTTTACACTTTAATCAAATTTTAAGACACTCGATATGAGTAATTACAAAAAAATGATTTCCCATTTGAGGATGAGGCTCAGTATTGAATAAAAAAACCTATGTATATCTCTTTATTTCTTAATAAGCCGTTCTCTGCATAATCGTCGTCGTAGATTTAGTACGTAAATATAGTTATTATAATTACTACTGATACTATAAATCTCAATTATTAAATTTTATTGGTATTTAGAAAATATATTTTTTCTTAATTTTCTCTTTCAAAAATACTATTAAAAAATGATAGTATTTATATGTTCTCATAAGTTCCGTTCAAGAGAATGTCCATATATCCATACTTCATTAAAACAAGTCCAGCTGAAATAACTGAAGTAAAAATACACAGTATAAAATGTTAGATTTAATCTAGCTTTCTATCAATAATGAAAAATAATCTATTAAAATTAATACATACTCCAGAAATTTACACTAATGTATAATCTTAGTAAGTCTAAGCTGATTTCTTATAATTATAATATTGTGTTTTTACATTTTTGAAATAAATCATTATTTTTGTCGCATAGTTTTTTATTTTTTATATTTTATTATTATTAATATTTTGAATTTACGAACTCTTGAACACTGCTATGTGTACAATTAATTTTAATTTCAGTTTTAAGTGTGTATTTATGATATAATTTTATTAAGTTTTAAATATTTTAATTATGATGAAATATTAAATTTAATACTAAATATATAACAGTTAAGTTACATTTAGAATATATTTAGTAGCTTAAGATATATTCAGGGATGATAGAATTTTTTTTCACTTATGATAAAATTGAGTTATTGTCATCTAAATTGATTTTTAATTTCTCATATTCGTTAAATATTAGACAGGATAAAGTTGGAATTTTATTTTAAGTTTCTGTGATTCACATTGAAAAATGCATCAAATTATTACTAACAAGCGACTTATTATTATTCAGGTATATTATAATATATATTATTATTTAATATTTTATAACATTTAAACTGTAACATAATTAAACATTTTTATTTTTTTCTGGCTATATATATACTAATAGTTCTGTAATTTCCACACATTATACATAAAACATGTATCAAATTAAGTTATTTGACATCTTTATTATAGTATAAGGTTGAATAAAATGTATTATAGTTTATAAATTTAGTATAAAGTTTAAATACACTTAGTCATAAAATATGCTAAGAATAAACTTATTGTATATTCCTAAATAAACGCTGGAGATCGAATTTAATTTTAAAAATTATTTAATCAGATATGACAGTGTGTAGAACAATATCGGTATTCATCATAATTATAGACTGGATATAATTTAATCGCAAGCTTATTAGCACATTTTTAAATTACTCAAAACTTGATTAGTATGTTTGAAGTATAATTAATTGTATGGAAGATCTATAATGAATAATAATGATAATGACATGGTTGCCACTAGAACTGTAGTCGTGAAAAATAACCAATTAGAATTGGTGAATTTATGAATTAAAGATATTTTCTTAAGTATTTTTAAAAGTTCTGGATTTAATAACTTAATAGTTTACAATATAATTATTTTTTTCGATAAATATACATTATTTTTATATAAAATTCCTTATTAGTTATAAGTTTTCCTATATAATCTTCATACAAGAAGTTAAAATAGTTGAAAATTTTGAAAGAGTTCCTAATAATATAATATTCTCGTAAATGTATATGAAACTGTTCATATCAAAGTCATATCTAAAGATATGAATTTTTTATTTAAGTAATCAATTTATGTACGTTTTTTACAACTCAATGCATAATATAGACTACGTATATATTCCCACCCTTATTATATGTATT